CGATATTGAGGTAATTCTAATAACTAATATAGTACTTTGAAGTGCAATTCAACACCTAACGTTAGCAGTTTGGCAATTTTGTTGTTCACCCAGCCTCCGCGAAACGTTGGCCTGTCCACACTCTTGTTTGGGCCGAAGGAGCGCTTCTCCACTTGGTTGGCAGCCACCTGTCACACGTGCCAAGAGGAAATCCTTGCTTTGGGATTATTGATTTCGGAAATTGGAAGTCACTCTTTTCGCAAAGGAGTGGCAACGGAATTGGCAAATTGCCCCGGTGGACCACACGCCGTCTCAATTTGGCTACGTGCTGGTTGGAGTTTGGGCAACGTCCAAACGTCCAAAGCCGATATATATTCCAGGGTGCAGGGGGTGACCAGTTTGCCGGTCGAGCGGCATCAGGTAATAATTTCACTTTAAACATGATATAAAATAAATATCATGTTTTAGGATAGAGTGTGAACGATGTGTTGTTTGCCTCGCTCCCCCCGCATTTCCACGGCGTGGTTTTATCACCTGTTCAGTGGGACTCAATCTTGCCTGGATATTCCAGCTTTTATCCTGCTACGTTTCGTTGTGCTGTTCCGTATCTGCTGGCATCGTTGGTCCACCATTACGCATGGCTGAAGCTGAACCTGAATCCCAACCACCCGTTATTGATGTCCCATGCTTGGACCAGTAGAATTTTGCCTCAACTGTTCCCACAGGTTCTCACTGGCGTCCTCGAAAACACAACGTCACGAATGGTGGCAACTGGGATACCTCCACATGTTCCTCTGTCAATCCAACTACAGTCGGTAAAGTCTGCGGTCGAAAATATTGGAACGTCAATTCAAAAAAGATTAGAATTGTTACCTGACCAAATTAGCACTGCGATTCAAAATCAATGCCGAAGCTCTCGCGACGAACCAGTTACAATGGAAATCCTCAACAACTCCTTACATAAATTTGGAGACAATATTATCAAGCGAATTGAGTCCATTACAACTTTACGGTCGCCGAATATGCACGAAAACACTCCCAACGTACCCTCGGCAACCCCGAAACCCCGAAACAACTATTGGTGGGTCAACCAGCGCCAATTTTGCAACGTCGAAATTGCACTGTCCCAAGGGCAAACTGTACGATTTGTGGAATCTATGGTGGGATGGGAGTGACATGGACCTCATCCCACCATTGAGAACGTGTACCTCGAAGGACTTCGGCACCCGAGCAGACCAAGCAAACTTTTCCAAAGCCAAGAAGGTCGTTTTGGCACTGCTATCATGCTTGAACGTGTTAAACCACCAAGTCGTGTCGATGGACGTACCTGCTCGTATCGCGTTGTTTCAAGGATGCCTCGCTGCGTTGTGTCAGCGCCACCTGGCGCTGTCGGACCAAGCAGCTGTGGCCAAGAGGCGGGTGTCCGAGATGAGCTACCATTCGATGTACGATATAATTAACAAGTGATAGTGTTCTTTTCATCATGTACCTTGCCTTGGTGTTCGTTCCTTGTATCCCTGTTGCTTGTGTCGGTGCCCACTTATTTGCTTGAGCGTTGATGCGAAAGTTGGATACTGACATTATTTATACATTGTGCCGATTATCAGTTTATACAGTTTGTTTCGTGGTTTGTTTCGTAAAGGGGCAAATATAGGACAATACCACAGATCCGCTTGGAATGAATGACATCATATTAATCCACACAAGTATAACTATATCGACACATACATATTATAAACAGTTACATCCCAACTGTGACTTGTGCCTGATAAGGCCGCAGTACTGTTGACGTCATCTGGGCCCACAAGTGGTAGCATCGCGCACACTCAGCGCTACAACAAGGCGTTCACCATCCTTAGCATTGACCTCTCTCGCGCGTTCGACACGACGGACCGCGAGAAGCTCCTTCAAGTCCTCGAGCAAATCGACAAGCCCGACCAGCTCCGCCTCCTCGGCTCTATTCGGTTTAACCCTCCGGTGACACTATATACTGTAGGCCTATATATCTGTTTAAAACTACTTTACGTGGGCCGATAGCAAATAGCGCGTAGGTTTGAATCATTGGCTGCACAGTACTTCCGGATAAATTATCCAGAGATACAGATCGAACACAGCCAACAATTTGAAAATGGCAGCACTTAAACTACATGCGCAAATGGACGTGAAACATCATGGACGATGTCGCTTGTGACAAGTCTTTCCGCCACTCGAACGACTGGTTCAAGGCCCATGTACAGTACAAACGGTGCATGGCTTGGAATGGCCGCGCCATGGCCGTACCCTTTACGGGATGAAAATTGACGCGCCGCCGCTTCTCCCGTTTTGGCCCCAGAACCTCCTTATCTGTCCAATGTCCCAATTGGTGAGGACATTGCCCGACTCCAACTTCTTGTGGAACACAACTGTGTTGCAAAGGCCTCGTTTCTTACTCTGCTTCGTGTAGCACGCCGCCTTGGCGAGGATATTCCAGAGCTGGAAACTCTAATTTTTACTCTGAAGGAGCCTTCCACAGAAACTATTGTAGAGCCAGCGGACATTCAAGCAACCCGCAGGAGCACGCGTCCATTTTCAAAGAAAGGACCTGCAACTAAAAAGCTAAGAAGTAATGAAGTGCATTTGACTTCGAAATACTTTGTGTCGAACTACATCGTCTCGTCTACATGTAGCAACGGGCTTGAATAGTCAAACGACCTCACTAAAATGTAGGTTATACTGTATAGGATGTATAGACTATATCGGCTATATATCCTATATAGTGAGTAGGGTAAAGGATATATAGTGTATATAAGATACTATATAGCACTACTCCGACCCGCGAAAAGAGTCCAATTTGACTTCTCATTGGTGAAAGTTTTCTAACTTTACGATTCAATGCAATATCATTGGCTTGCTAAATAGCGCAAGATCTCGTCTTTGATTGGCTGCATTCTGCGTGTTCCAAGTCGTTTTTGCTCAAAAGTTATGGCTGTAGAAAAATGTTGTTCATCGTGCAGCAAACATATCAACCCGCTGAGGAGTCAATTTTGAATTTTATCCCTTGTTATCAATACATACAACCAAGCTATCCTCTTTCTCGTGCGAACCATGCCTTCCCGTGTCCCCCATCCCTTATCAGCCCACAGCGGCCCGCAACGAAGCTCAGCAATTCGACGCGCATGGCAATCTACCAAACTTGACTTGAATGCAGCGTCAACGGACAGCTTCCGTATGTGGCGCTTGGCATACTGCTCAAATGTTCCAGTGCCACGCCAAAACGATATCACTTGGTGGAAGTGCTTTCATTTTTCATAACATGTCAAAACAACAAATTATTATTTGAGCTTGCGAATAAAAATACAGACCAGTCACTTGCATTGGCTGTAAACTTTGTACTTCGAAGTATGGCGGCCAATCATTCACAAGCATGATCAGAAAACTCGAAGTACCACATAGGCGAACCACTCCCTCGGTCACTGTATATGGATGGGGACTGGAATTGTGCAAAATCAAAAAAACTTGAATTCCAGACCGCATCCATATCGCGATTGTTGTTGAAAATGTGCGTAATGTATGCGGTCTGGAAAAGTTCCTAAACCTCTCTAATAATACTCATGAGTAAGCATTTCCGGATATAGTATACAGTAGTTAATTTTGAACTTGCGACCGACGTCGACGCAAAAGTGCAGTCCGGGGTTTCGGGGTAGCAAGAAACTAGTAGTAAATTACTAAATTACTCGAGAAATTACAAGATGCTGCTACATTTCTGGAAATCTGGAGGTCTTTTGTAAATTATTGGATGTTTAAGGGTGCGTCTGGTAACCCGAAATATTGCAATATTCAGGCCCAAAGCGCCATTTTAGGGCCGAATTCAACAAATCTGATCAAAATTGAAACATGTCTTGCAGAGTTTTACAGTTAACCCAAATCCAATAATTCCACGTGGGATTTACTCGTTGAAGAGGTCAAAACGCCACATTACAAATTGACCTTTTACCTCCATTTTGAAAATGGCATTTTGGTTAATCCCATTTTGCGAGAAAATGGAATATTATTTTTGAAATGTTACCAGACGTACCCTAATTTGTTCAGCGGCTATTGTAATGGCCATCCGTCACTGACAAGAATATGACTGGTTTCGTTTCATTCCTAGTTTATCCTGACTGATACATCGTTAATCTCACGATATATCATGCAAACTGGTTTTACAGCCTACTGTAACTAGTTAACTGTGAAGTCAAGCGACGAATGTCGATACATTAATCCTGGCTGGAGCTCAAACCTCATCCAGCGTATGATCTGTTTGTTTCTCTTCTCATTGGAAGGACTTTATAAACCTATAAATCTGACTTCAACCCCTGTCGGACTTCTCCGGGGTACTCTGTACTCGTTTAGGAGCACCATCAACCAATCTCAATAATTTCACTATCTTAAACATGGACAAAGACGTCATGTATCTCTTCGATTAATACCTTAACTATCGAGCTTCAGTTACTAAGTCCTCTTGACATTGATGCAAAACGTGCCGCATTCTGCACACCATCGACGCGACAGCAGCTCGTTGGATTCGACCTGCGTCGAACGCTGCGTCGATCTGGACCCCGCTAGCCGTTGGTGCCACTGCAAGCTCAATCTTGTACACCCCAAAGCGATGTTCCGATCCTTTTTCCATTTTTCGCAGCAAGTCGTCGACGTCACTGTGGTTGTCGTTGAAATTGTGAAACGCCACTTCCGTGTCGTATTGCATGGCTGGAAGGTGGCTCCACGTTGTCGTGTCTTCAGGGTCGATCATGCAATGGCCCAGCATCGCACTGCGCATTGTTTGCAACTGTTGCAGACGCTCGACCAACGTCATAGGGGCGCCAAAGTGGACTCGGCACGGCACGGAGCTCATCGCACAGCCAAGCATCCTATAGGCATATAGTCAGACAAACCACAACAGGAAAGAGGTCGCACCGGTCAAGCCCTTCCACAGGGAGGTTGCGATTCGCCTGCACTTGTCCAAACACAACGTCGTCACGTCCAGTGTGGACCTGCAGCGTCATCGCCCAGCTCAGGAGCACGACAGTTGATGTTGTCACGCCAAAACGCTGGGCCAGCGTCTGTAGCTGCGGCAAGTGCACGTGGGTGGAGACGGATCCATCCCCATCGGAGCCCACTGAAGCATACAGATGGGGAACGATGGAGTTCAGGAGTGGAGACGTCGAGGCGTCGACAAGATAGGCGGTCCAGAAGGCGACTGTTGTGGCCGAGTCTTGGGCGTGCAAGTAGTCGATCACTGCTCGAAAGGACGGGCGGGACGGTGGCGACGTTCCAGTGCGATACACGTGCAGCAAATCTGACAACAAGAGGGAGATAGACCAGCCGTCGTACAGAGCGTGGTGGATCGTCAAGACGCCAATGGACTCCTCAGACGGATGAGCGATGTCGACGACTGTGAAGCGCGCAAACGACGAGTCTGACAGTTTAAACCCAACTGAAGCGTCTGTTACCAAGAACGCACGCATGGATTCAGCTTGAACTCGATAAACGCTGGCGGACGAGTTCACAACATGACACACACCGAGGGTGGCGGAGTCCACGAACGTCGTGCGCAACGTTTCACAGGTTGCAGCCAGCTGCAGGTACGCGGTCAACGCTTCTTGTGCGTCCAGTCCTGAGAGCGGCACCTGGAGCACCCACATGGACGGGTCTTGCTTGGTCATGCGCACTTGATACGACTGCTCGGGGGTGGTGCCGTAGGCTGTTTCGTAGTCCGGCCAAGTCGTCACCACTTGGTCGATGGTGTGGTCATCCAGTGGCACCTGGGGCCACGCCGTCCTCTTTTGCTGACCAACCCGCAGCGCCATGTCGCACAGCCGGTTGTACTTCATGATATCCCCCACGGACAGAGGAAGGCCAGCTCGATTGCAAGCCGAAGCCAGACGGATGGCCAGAATGGAGTCGCCCCCGAGCGAGAACATCGACATGCGTCGACCGATGTCGCGTGTATCCACTTCAAACACTTGGGCCCACACTGCTGCCAACTTGACTTCTGTGTCACTTTCCAAACCCTCCGTCTTAATCTGCACCTCCATCCCCACCAGAACTTTCTTGTCAATCTTGCCGTTGGAATTCATCGGCATCACGTCCAGGCCAATCCACACAGCAGGCACCATGTACGTGGGTAAGTAATTGTTTACACATTGCTCCAGCGCCACCACATCGACGTCGGACGGCGTAAAGTACCCCACGAGGTGCGTCTTGTCCTTGACAATGGCGGCGGCCGACTTGACCGACGGGTGCTGCATCATGGCATTGGCGACTTCATCCAACTCGATGCGGTAGCCCTTCAACTTGACCTGGCTATCTTGTCTGCCAGCGATTTCGAATTGGCCATTGGGCAGCAGACGACCCAGATCCCCTGTCTTGTACATTCGGCCATGGCCAAAGGGGTCCACCAAGAATCGCTCTTCCGTCATTTCCGGCAAGTTGATGTAGCCTGGCGACACGCAAATGCCGCTCAAGTAGAATTCACCCAGAATGCCAAATGGGACCTGTCGGTGGTTGTCGTCCAACACGTAGCAATGGACGTTGGGAAGCACCGACCCGATTGCAATGGATTCCGTCAGGCTCAGTCGAGTACCGTGGGACATGATCGCACACTCAGACGGACCGTACAGATTGAACAACTTGACCCTTGGTGCCCACAAGTCCTTGAGTGCCACTGGACAAGCCTCTCCAGCCACCGCCACGACCTTCAGCTGGGGATACTGGTTTGGTTCGCCCAGCAAGGACAACGCAGTGGGGGTGCACGTCAGATTGCTAGCCGTTGACAGCGCCGACAGATCGTCTTCACTTCTTAAGACCAAGGTCGCACCAAAGGACAGACTCTCCCACATGTCGGCTTGGAATCCATCGAAACCAATGGCCATCAATTGAAACACCCTAGAGTCCTCCTTGATTTCAAGGATACCACCAAAGCGCTCCATAGAGTTCACCGCACTGTGGTGTAGAACAGGAACACCTTTGGGTTTGCCAGTCGACCCAGACGTGTAGACAATGTACGCTTCGTCCAACTTGGTGGCCATGTGGCAGGCTGATGGCACGAACTCTGACTTGGAGGTTGCAACATCAATGACCACAACGTCAACAGCCAACTCCAAATCAACAATCGTTTGCCGGAATTGACTTGTCGTGACCACAGCGCACACACCAGCATCTGCCACCATGAATGCCAAGCGAGCAGAGGGAAAGGCCACATCCAATGGCATCATGGCAGCACCCACTTTGAGCACCGCAAGCAATCCAATGGGAAACTCCAAACAACGGTCCATGATCACAGCCACTCGAGACCCAACGCACACGCCCAAGTGGGCCAAGTCACTGGCCACCGAGTTCGCGAGCGCGTCGAGTTCCCCGTACGACAGCCACCGGTCCTGAATCTCCACAGCTCGAACATGAGGACGCGCCTTGGCTCGAGTTTCAAAGGCGTGGTGAAGCAGTTCAAACGGCAATGCCACTTCTGGCCCTGACGAAACATCTCGAATCAATGTCGTCTGCGCTGGACTCATGGCCCACAACTCAGACACAGCCATGTCCCCGCTCTTGTTGCAACAAATCTGACTCAACGTGAAGTCAAACTCTTCCAAAATCCACCGAGCTTGATCCCTTGGGATGTCGCTTGGATTGTACATGGCTTCGAGTTTCAATTCTGACGCTGTGGGGGTTACGATGATCTCAAGGGTGTGGTCGGTAGACAAGGTCTTGCTTGGGTGTACCACTCGACCCAATTTCGAGGTGGGAAGATTTTGGTACACCAGGAGCGAATCGAACAAGTCGCCCTCGATGCCGCTCCAACGCT